GTCATTTTGTTAGTGTGTGTGTGTGTGTGTGTGTGTGTGTTAACAATTCCTTCATACCATTTAATTTTCTGTGCTGAGTTTTTTGTTTATGAATTTTCTTTTCATATCCTTTGTTGTTAATTTTGTTTTTTTCTAAGTCATTTTAGCTTCTCTTTGTTTTGGTGAGAATTATTGATTTTCTTGGCAGCTACCCTGAAGTTTACCTTTATCATACATATAGAACAACGTGCTGTATCTTGTTATCTCTTTGACTCTTCTCCATATGCAAGTTCTATAATGACACTATTAATTAAACCCTTCTTCGTATGGTTACAGGCCATCTGCACATCATCTTTGGTAAATTGTCTATTCGTGTTTTGTGACCATTTTTTATTGGATTATTTGTATTTTTCTGGGTAAGATGTTATAGTTTTCTGTAGATTTTGGAGATTATTCCTTTATCTGATGTATTATGACTGATTGCCCCCCATCCTGGTGAAGTCATTTATTGTGCATAAATGTTATATTTTTAGTAGGTCCCAGTTCTTTATCTTCTATAGTATGAATATTTTGCATTATATTTGATAGTGTGTTTATGCCTTGTATTGGGTCCTTAAGTTTGTCCCTATATTTTTATTGATAGTCTTGATAATTGTGTGATTTATATTTGGCTCTTTGATCCACTTTGAGCTTGGTTTTGTACGTGCTGTGAGGCATGGGTCTTGTTTCACTCATTTGCAGGTGAAGAGCCAGTTTTCCCAGCAGCATTTGTTGAAAAGACTGTGCCTTGCCCATTTAATGGTTTCAGTTCTTTATCCAAAATTAGGTGTCTGTAGGTACTTAGTTGCATTTCTAGGTTTTCATTTCTTTCTTTAATTTTTTAAATCATTTTATTGGGGGCTTGTACAGCTCTTATCACAGTCCATACATCCATGCATTGTGTCAAGCTCATTTGTACATCTGTTGCCATCATCGTTCTCAAAACATTTTCTTTCTACTTGAGCCCATGGTATCAGCTCCTCATTTTTGGTTTTCATTTCTAATGCATTCGTTTTTATATCTATCATCTCATCAGGACCAAGCTGTTTTGAGTACCAAGGCTATAGAGTGGGTTTTAAGGTCTATGAGTGAAAGACCTCCTACTTTGTGTTATTTCTTTAGAAAAAAAATGTGATCTTTTCATTTCTTTTTCTTGCCTGATTCACTGGCAAGGACATCCAGCACTTGATGCACTGCCCTGTCACCGCACCACCCTCAACTGGTGAATAGTTTTCTAATATGGCATATCATATTTTCACTTTACGCTGGGCGCTGCAAATTATGTAAGTGGTACTGTTCAGGTTTTCCCCTGTAGGGGGTTTCTTGCTGTAGCTGTAAAGAAATCATAGAAATGGGTGGCTGTATAGCAGAGAAACCATTTCTTCACAGTGTAGGTGGCCAGACGTCTGAATTTAGCAGCCCTGGGGGAGGGGTCTCTCTTCTTGTTTACTCCGGAAGAAGGTCCTGGTCTCCCTCTCTGCCTGATGCTCCTCCGTTCTTTGGTGAGCTTTGTGGCACGCCCTTCACTGTTGGTCAGCCCGTCTTCTATGTCTACTCTACTTTTAAAAATAAAGAATCCCAAAGACACCCTACACTGATATTGCCTCGTTAACCCGAGAAAGAAAACCTTGTTCCCAAATGGCATTATATTCATAGGTCCAAGGGTTAGAATTGGAGCACACCTATTGTTGGTGGTGAAGGCAGGTAGGGGAGGGAGGCACAATTCACGATGCTAAAAATGATGAATTTCAAGCTTGTTGACGTTTTACCAGTAGGATTATTTTTATTTTTCTTGTTAAGATGTTATAATTTTCTGTAGATTTTATATTTGCAATTTAGATCATCATAAATTAAGAGCTAACTACAATGCCCTATAACTTCTATACAATAATGTCAAGATACAAAGTACAGTAAAACTAATATGCAGCAATCTTCTCTCCAGAATAAAACTACTTAGCACTTTATTGTCTTCTTATGCCATACTAAATGAATACAGAAGCAGAAAGAATAGGCCGCAATTAGAAGACTATATTTCTGATTTGAGTTCAGTAACTAAACACTTTCAATGACAAGTTATAGGGCATTATAGTTAGCTCTTAATTTATGATGATCTAAATTCCAAATATAAAATCCTCTTACCCACTGACTTATATAAAACCATTAGAAAAAGATTTTACCTGCTTTGAGATAGTTTAAGAATTATAATTTTAAATATTTAAAAGTATATATTCTTACAAGGAAAAGCAGAGAAAAAGAACTGTGGTTTATACACCAATAGACAAGACTTTGATGACTTGGAGGAGGCCAGAGACAGAGGTGGGAACAGGGAGAGGGGACAGAGGGTGGAGATTTAAAAAAAAGGGGGGGAGGGTTTAACCTGACAAAAAAATTTTTATATAAAATAAAATTTAAATTACTCCATGAAAAAAATTCTTCTACAGATTCCTTACTCATCAGATATAAATATTGGTCTGAGTGGCTAAAGAGAGAGAAAACTGAAGTGGACTTGGGGTCTTTATTGACCCACGGTTCACACAAACACTGTAAGGGGATATAGATATACCCTTTTAGAAACCAAATAAAATCACTGCCATCAAGTTGATTCCAACTCCGGGCAGCAGGTGGAGTCCTGCAGGTAGAACTGCAGGTGTGGGTTTCCGAGGCTGTAACTCGTGATGGGAGTAACTGTAACTGTAACTCTTGACGGGCTTAGAAAGCCCCTTCTTTCTGCAGCAGCGCAGCTGGTGGTTTCAAAGTGCCGGTTTCAAAGTGCTGATCTTGCCATTAGCAGCCCAACACGTAACTGCTGAGCTACCAGGGATCCTTCTATATTCCTATATGATGCAGACATTTCAAACACACCTATTCCTTGACACTAGCTAAAACCTAAGGCACATAACTTTCGGTGCTGCGACATAGTACCAATCTCTGTTCAGGAGTGGTGACATCGAGTGGGATTCAGTAGCAGAGGGGAGAGAGATGTTTGGACTACTGTATCTAACTATGTCAAATGATATCATCTAGATGCTACCCTTAAAGGGAAAAAAGATTTTTTTTAAGTGGCATTATCAATATCCACTAGGAACTAAAGATTATAAACTGAGTCAACTCTGTCGTAAAGTAAAAGCATATGCCCAATGGGATCCTCAGAACCACAAGGGGGTCCATTCAGTCAGGGTCAAATGGAGGAGAACTGGTACCTTGAAGAGAATCCTTCCCCAATTATTTTGTTTTTGAGTAATTCAAACTAGAAAGATAATGTAACAAATACTACTAGGACATCTCTCTTACTTTCAAATGTTCAAAATTTAGAAATTCTACCATGTGAAATTTTGGGTGGTGTATTGAAAACAAAATAATTTAGATGCTGTATTCTCTTGCTTGCAGAAGATCAAAATAAAATCAGAAATCTGCTAAAAGGGCTTTATACACCATCTTGAGATAGAAACCTATCCTGAGGAGCACCATGTATATTTGTGTGTGTGTGCGTGTGTCCATGTCACAGGGTAGATGCCAATAATTCAAAAGGAACCTAGTTAACACTGAACACTGCAGCAAAATAAACAAACACTATGAGAGCTACATTCAGTTTGTTTCTCTCAAACCAAATAGCAGTGAACTGAAAGCTAACACTCTCAGGGCATTATAGTTAGTTCTTAATATTTTAAAGTCATGTTCCCCATTTTTAACTTTTTCTTTTTTGGAGGTAATAAAGTATTAAAAGAAGACAATTTATAGTCCTGACCTTGTATCTAAAAATGTAAGATTCGGTGCAAAGAAAAATCTGTTGGTAGCTTAACTGCTCTTGCCATGCACCTTGAAAAAAACCAGAAAATTAACAGCCACTGAGCTGATGAGGCCATATGGCTTCTAATTAGACTCTTGCTCTTCGCCAAAATTCTGAGCCATTTATTACATTTGCTGTTCGGCATTCATCACATCTTACTGTCCATGAAAAAGTCATAAGGAAGAGATTAAAGTTGTCCTACTACTTTTCATAATTCCCCACTGAATATTTTTCCTATCTCTTCCCCCAGCCAAAAGGAACCAATTTCTAAAAATAATTCATGGAAACTAATTTTTGCAACTGGCCCCAAACCTTTTTCTTTCAAGTCATATGATATTCATATGTAAATATCAATCAAACACCATTAAGACATTGGGCCAGGGTGGCAGGACTGGTGAGTCTCCCAAAAAGCTGTTTAAAGTAGTTCCAAGTTTTCTCTGATTTTTGGCTGCCAGGATTCAGTGATCAAAGTTAATAGACCAGTAACTTAACAAAATAAAATAGTCCGACTTTTAACTTCTAACTGTAGACATTAGTTTCTTAACTGTAAACATTTATTGAGTACTTAATATTTGTCTGACAGTATTCTAGGAGCTAGAGAAAGAAAAAGATGGTTTCTGCTTTCTTGGACTTTAGTATCAAGTAGAGGAGACAAGAAGACACATATGAAACATTGTAGTTTATATGAAAAGAGCCCCTGTGGCGCAAATGGTTAAATGTTTGGCTGTTAATCAGAAGGATCATGGTTCAAACTCCACCAGCCACTCTGCAAAAAAAAAGAGATCTGGTGCTACGATCCTGTGAATATTACAACCTGGAGAGTCCTATGGGCCAGTTCTCCTCTGTCACCACCAGTCAGAATCGAACAGCCTCTAGGAATGGTACCCACTAGAGTTGCGTGGAGCACAGTCTGTACAAGCCTATCTGGTGACCTTGGCTCCAAACTCACCAGGCTCAGCAAGTCCCTTCAAGGGAAATGCTGGGCACAGTGCTCAGTTTTTAATTCTATACCCGATAAACTTGAATGAAGACTAAAGACACCGTTTCCTCCCTCTTCAATGTATAGCATCCTCAATGTCTAATTAATTGAATTGTGTTGCCACTCTCTATTTTAACAAAAATACCTACCACTTGTCCCATTCAGTGACGTGTGACAATAAGAGCGGGTTCATGGCTCTGCTTTGCTTGTTTCTAGATGTGGACTTTCCCATCGTTCTCCAGCCTACAAATGCAAATGAGAAGACACAGCTAATCAGCGAAGAACCTCGAAGTTATTGCACAGACTCTTGATACTGAGACCCCTGAGGACCCACAGGACCCCCTCTTGGTTCAGCCATGCTTCCAGGTGGTGATGGGGAGACTGAGGCGCATGAACGGCTGTGAGCGTTTCTCCATTTGTATTTTATTGTTAGGTTAGGGAAAGCTGATTGCTACCTGATGTTCCCAGTATGCAAACATTCTGAGTAGAATTCCTAAGAAACACATTCCACTACGGTGAATAAAGACCTGAAGATCGTTTTGTGCTCCTTGCATGGTGGCAGTGGGCAGGCTGGAATAGCATTCCCTTGATAAAAACTAGACCTCCTTCGCCACAGACTAAGGTTTTATTCCAAAACAGAAGCCATTGATATATTATTCACAACTGCCACAAACATCACCAGGAAAGAAAAAAAAAACTGAATTTGGGAAGAATTTTTTTCAAGGAGATTTTTATCTGTCTATATGTAATTTAGCTAGAGAAATATTCCAAGAGTAGAAGTAAGTAGGTTTAAAAGAGAGATCATATTATTTTAATATATATTTTGAAAGATTCGAAATTGGCACTTACTGAATACTGACCAGGAAAACCACCAAGAAGTTTTGTATGTACTTCTTACATATTTTAAAAATCTAATTTTCAACCCATATAAAATCTTATGAGTGATCCAAAAAATGATTCTGAGCCTGAACAGTGAGTGTGTTGACTGTTAGTAAATGTAACTGGTTCGGTCAAACACCTTAAGGAAAAGAATCCCATAGACCAGGATTAGCATCCCACATTGAAGTCACTTCGTGTAGCTCCCTTACTTGCTTTCTGGTGGGATCTCCCATATGGATGAGAATGTACTCACTTCGGTACATGTTGGACAGTTTAAGCTCAAGGTGGTCTCTACATTTGCTCTTGATCCTTATAGTCATCGTTCGGCAGAAACAGTGTCATTTGGCAGCAAATGAGTGTCTTTCCAAGATCTTTCTTAGTTCTACATAACATTGCATTTTCAAGCTCTCATAATGTTTTTATATACTACTGCATGATATGCCCTTTTCCCTTTGTCTCTTATTCTCCCCGTTACCAAATTACAGTCCACTGCTGCTAAATATAGATTGTAAGTGAGAATTGGTGTTATAGCTTTGACATGCCTGAAGTCATTAAAATCTGCTCTTAACTCTTGGGTTATTTGAATTTTTTTTTAATCGGCATACTTCAGTAGAAAGAGGGTTTGTTTGAAAATTAAGGTAGCTTGTTCTGATCTAAACTCCCACAAAACCTGTGACCAAGTTAGGTGAGAAGAAAATGGAAAATTCGTGTCTTGGTTTTCATATATGCCCTGGCCTCCGTCCCAGTTTTTGTAAGAACTAGATGAAATAGCTGAGGGAAGAGAACTCTGAAAAGGCAAATGTTCCGAGGTTTTACATGCATTTTATTGTTTTCATACATAAACAGGATGTGACTTCTTACGCACAAAAATTATCTCACTCATGAGACCAGTGAAGAAACCCAGGACTACCAGGTCCGTCTGCACTCAATACTTCGTACCTAACAAGCAAGAGCTCCTCCCCTAAGTGGAGGAAACAATAGGACAAATTATCTGTGTACAACCTGAGCCACTACATTTCCTTTTTCTAGTTTCTCTAAGCAAAAAGGTAGGCATATTTCCTACCCCCCACCAAAAAAAAAAACAAAACCATTTTATTGGAGGCTAATACAGTATCATATCATTCCATAGTTCAATAACATCAAGCAGTGTTGTACAATTGCTACCACAATCAGTTTGAAAACATTCGCTTCCTTCTTGAACTCCTTGATATCAACTCCCCTTTAGCCTACTCCTCACCCTCCTGCACTGTACCCTACCCCCCGGTTTCATATATCAAAAATATGTAACAAAAATTTAAGAAGGTTACTCCCGAAGAAAATCTAATATAAACCCCAATATGAAAAACACAGAAAATGTTGAAAACCAGATCAGGCCCAACATGCACTGCAGTGGGATCAACTGGCAAGGTTTTAACTGTTCAAGTCAGTTCTATCATTTTGATCATCTAGAGTCATCTCTCCAATGCGCTGTTTGGTATAGGCATATTTTTGAATAAGCCAATCAAACAAACAAAAAAGCACACCAAACCCATGGTCCTTGAACAACCTTACATAGGGTTTCTGAGATTGTAAGTCTTCACAGAAAAACCCCTGGTGGTGTAGTCGGCTATTAGTTGAGCTGCTAACCATAAGGCCTGCAGTTAGAACCCACCAGTAGCTCTTCAGGAGAAAGATGAGGCTGTCTGTTCCCACAAATATTTATAGCCTGGGAAACACAGTTCTACTCTGGCCTGGTGGATCGCTATGAATGAGTTTGTTTTTTGTTTTTTAAATCTTTACAGGAGCACCCAGTCTTATCTTTCTCTCTCTGAGTGTCTGGTAGGTTTGAATGGCTGACTGTGTTAGTCTGGCTACTTTAGAGAAACAAGTCCACATAAACTCATGTATAAGAGAGAGTTTTATATAAAGGGTAAGTGCACATCAAGTAAACATCCCAACCCAGTTCTGCCCAAGCCCTCAAGTCCAACATTCGCCCATTAACCCATATTTCCAACACCAATCCACAAAGTTCTCCTCCAGCTCACAAAACACACTATGACTCCAACTGCAGAAGGAAAGCTGAATCAGTGAGTATGTAAGCATCTCAGCACTGGCAGGGGTCTCCACGCAGCTGCTCCAGCACCCAGGGCTGCATCAGTGTAGGTCCACGTGGCTTCTCCTCAGGTATGTCTTGCAGGAAGTGAGCCTTGCCAGCTGAAGCAGGTAACTGGCTAAGGTTGCTGCACCCTCATCTGAACATCAATTAGAAAGCAAGAGACCCGAGAACTCGAAAGGTGAGGCTCACTGAGCCATTTATCGCTCTGCCCTTCAATTAACCCCACATGTGTTTAACGGCCAGCTGGGCATAATAAACAAACTATCTCACTGACCTTGTGTTTAGCAACCCAGAGCCAAACCCACAGTATCACCAAAACTCCATGCTGACTCATGGCAACCCTACAGAATAGGATAGAATCGCCCCTGGGCATTTCCAAGATGCTAATTGTGAATGGGAGTTCATGTAACTGCTGCTGTCCTTGTTGCTCTCTCTCCCACAGTTGGTGGTTTCAAACCTCTGACTTTGTAGTTAGCATCCCAACGCCTAATCACTATGCCATCAGGACTGCTCCACAGCACCAGGGCACCTTTATGTTTTTAATAACATCCTACACCTTTCAAAGCTTACCTTCCCATTCTCTTCCATATGTGCCCCACCCACCCACCCACTTTTCACCCTGAAGTATTCACTTCCATGTCTGACTTGCTTAAAAGTAGTTAAGATCAGGATAGGGCTTGGATCAAAGATGAAATCAAGTTCCTTGAGTTCTGGTCAGTGTTCCCCAGAAAGCACTAGTTTCTGGTCACAAGGACTTATGAAAAGTGTAAGCAACTAGATGCATATGAATGCTGAAATGAATTCTGTAGAATGACTCTTAGCTATATAGAAACAAAGATAGACTTGTCATCTGAGGAGGGGTTGCTTAAGCACCTCCTTGGGAGCAATAGACATTGTTATATGGAACTCCCTGCTGTGATTCTGATTCCACAAGTGTCTTGTCTGAGGAGCATCTATACATTGAGGAAGTGGAAGGACTTTGGGCTTCTGCTCAAGCCCTCCCTCAACACAAGAACACTTTGTTCTGACAACCTGGCATTCTGTGATGTTCACCATCCCAGCATGATCACTGAAGACAACGTGGGTGCACAAGCAAATGTGGTGAAGAGAGCAGATGGTGCCCGACTATCAAAAGATATAGCATCTGGGGTCTTACAGGCTTGAAGTTAAACAAGTGGCTATCTAGCAGAGAAGCAACAAGACCAAATGGAAGAAACACACCAGCCTGTGTGATCATGAGGTGTTGAAGGAATCGGGTCACAGGCACCAGAAAACTCAAAGCAAACAAACAAAGAATATATTGTTGAGAAAAATGGGGTCAGAGCAGAGAGAGAGACCCCAAACCCATCTGTAGACAGTGGGACATCCCCTCACAGAAGGATTACAAGAAAAGTATGGGTCAACCAGGGCACATTAAAGCACCAATGAAACACACAACTATTTCTCTGGTTCTTTGAGGCTTCCTCACCCCCCACTATCATGACCCCAGTCCTACCTTTCAGTTCTGGCTAGACCTGAGTATGTACACAGCTACAGATAAGAAATAAGAGCTCTTGACACACAGAATCTAGGAACAGAAATAGGATTAGCAATACCAGGAGGGTAGGGGGAAGGTGAGAAGAGGGAGGAAGGGGGGACTGATTGCAATGATTGGCACACACACACACACACACACACACACAGGGAAGAACAACAGAAACCACGGGGGAAAGTAGATGGTGGTCGGTGTAAGATATGAAAATAATTTATAACATCAAAGGGTAAGGGGGGAGGGGAGGAAGGAGGGAAAAAAGAGGAGCTGATACCAAGGGCTCAAACAGAAAGTAAATGTTTAGAAAATAATGATGGTTAAGATAGGCTGGATGAGCAATTGGAGGAGAAAACAACGGGACT